TCATCACCATCACCAACACCATCATCATCATCACATCACATCATCGTCACCACCATCATCACCATCATCATCACATCACATCATCATCACCATCATCATCACATCACATCATCATCATCACCATCATCATCATCACATCACATCATCATCATCACCATCATCATCATCACATCACATCATCATCATCACCATCATCACCATCATCATCACATGACATCATCATCACCATCACCAACACCATCATCATCATCACATCACATCACATCATCGTCACCACCATCATCACCATCATCATTACATCACATCATCATCACCATCACCATCACCATCATCACATCACATCATCATCACCATCACCATCACTATCATCATCATCACCATCATCATCATCTTCTTCGTCGTCATCAGGAGGCAGGAGGCCTTGCCTGACTCTGGAGCTCGGATCCCTCACCATGGCCTTAGGAACACAGAGAGGAGATTTTACAAACCTCTAATGCTGCAGTAACAAAGAGCCCCAAACTCTCCCGGTCCTAATCCAGCACAAGTCCACCTCTCCCCATGCTTGTGTGTCCAGGGGGGTCGACAGCAAGGCCCTTCTCACTGGGGTCACCAGGGCCCCAGCGGATGGAGGGCATTACAACATGCACTCCTCCATCATCGAGGCAGGAAAAAGTCCTGTGGGACGTGACGCATCACTTCTGCTCACTTGGCCTTGGCCTCGGGTTTACGTAGCCACACCATGCTTCACAGGGGGTAGAGAAGGAGAGACTATTCCGGAGAACTGGAAGATCTGAGGACAGGCCCAGTGACAACCACAGCAATGAATGAGGACAGAGACATTCCGGACGTCAGCATCGGCCTGTGTGGGTGGCGGGAGGCCTCGGATCCTCCCCCTGTTGCACACTGCTGTGTGGCCTTGGGCAAGTAACTGCCTCTCTCTGAGCCTTGGTTTCCTTGTCTGTAAAGAGAGGCGTGTCACAGGATATGAAGGATGTGACTAGGAGTTGAGGATATGAAGCGAGCGAGTGTGTGAAGCACTGGGCACAGACGGGGGTCCTCACTGCCAGCTTCCTTCTGTCCTCAAGGCCATCGAGGAGAGACCAAGGCCAACCTGCGCCGTGTCCTGCTGCGGCTCCAACACCTGTACGAGGCCAGGGAGGACCCGGTCCTGTCTCAGCCGGTGACAGTGAATCTGGAGGTAAACTACCCCCACCCCATGTCCACCCCTGGACCCCCGTGTCACGCCTTCCTGGGCAGACGCCGCGCCAGGGAGCAAACCCCAAGTGTGACCATCCTGGCTTGAAAGCGACCTTGGTAAAGAGATGCATCAGGGAGTGCTCGCAAAGGGGCCGGGTGTGGGCTCTGGGGGGGCGAGGGGGCGCCCCCGCCCTCCTTCTTTGTGTCTTCTGGGTTTTTCAGTCATTACAACAGCATGCATTTTATTTATTTCCCATTTATTCTTGTTGTAAAACTTTTTTAACAACACAGATGTTGCTTGTGTGCTCAGAAAACAGAACAGCTTCTCCCACAGAGCTCCTTTGAGGGTGATGCAGAGTCAAGCAGTCCGGGGTCCGAGTCCCGGTGCCTTTGCTGGGGTCTCGGGGAACTGAGCCTCTGGCCTCAGTCCCCTCACCTTTAAATGGGGGGGTAGGAGTGCTTTGTCCCAAGGGCTGCTGAGAGGCTCTGGGGCGATGACGTGTGCACGGGCACCTGGCAGTTAAGGCGGCTGATCAATGTCGGCGCCCTCCTAGCCCTCTGACCTCTGACCTCACTCCCCTCCTGGCCCCCATGTTGCCCTGTGAACCTCCACTAATGGGTGAGGCTCCCGCTGCCTAGCGTGACCACCTTCTTTCCCCAGAAGGTATGTGGACACCTCCCTTCACCCCAGTTTGCATTCTTTGTGGGGCTGTGAGCTCCTCATCCATCTCCTGCTCACAGAGCAGGTCTGTAAATCTCTGGCTGTGCTCTGGGCCGTCTTTGATGCCTGTCTCCTCAGCGGAATCCGGGAGCATCCCAGCAACCCAACCCAGAGGTTTCCTCAGTAGGGCCTTCCTGATGCCCCTACCCCCGCACGGGCCTTAACGCCGTGGGGTGGGAGGACGGTCTCTGTCCTCGCCGGGCTCCCACCCACCATGGGCCCCGTGGGGCCGAGAGCAGGTCTGAGCTGTCTGTGCCCAGTAGGCCCTGGGCGAGTGTAACGGGTGCAGGGACAACAAAGGATCTTGGAGGTGGGTCATCTGGTGCTGCCGCCAGGGAACAGGTGGAAGCAGCGAGGCCCTGAGCGGAGGAGACGGTCGGGGCGGACACCATGCGCCTCTTCTGGATGTGGACGGAGGCGCGGAGGTGACAGCGTTCATCAGTTAGGAATAGGCTTGGCCGCATGGTCTAGCGTACGGGCCAGGAGTGCTTGCGACGGCCAGGGGCGAGTCCTCACCCAGCAGGAGTGGCCGGGATGGGCTGTGGCTGTCAGCAGCAGCTGCCCAGCGCCGTCCTCAGGAACCGGTGGCCTTTGTTCTTCTGGCCTTGGTCAGCACGGTGCCTCTTTTTCTCCCTGCCCGTCACTCGTGGTCAGAGGCTGGCACAGGCCTCACGAGCAGATGTAACGGCAGAAGGTTGGACCGAACAGCAAACAGGGCCTTGCCCTCGATGCTTTCTCCTCCTGGCAGCACAGGGCAGCTGCTCCAGAACCCTCCCAGCCCTCCCGGCCAGCAGACTGGCCCTTTCTTTATGATGGCCAGAGCGGGCCGCCTGCCTCCTTCTGCACAGGGGGCTGGGTCGATGCCTATTTGGTGAAAGGGGATGGAATACCTGTGACTGGCCTCGTCCCCAGGGCTGGGCATGGTGCCAGCTGAGCAATGCGGGGGAGAAGGGGGACTCGATGTCGGAGGCAGCTCCGAGCGCCTTCCGCCTCCGGCATGCTCCTCCAGCTCGGCCCTGGGGGAGCTGGCCTCCGTTTCCTCATCCATAACATGGGGCTGCAGTCCTGTCCTTGGAGGTTTGCTGAGAATTAAATGAGGGAGGCGTGTTCCGTCCTGGGCCGTGGGGGCCGTCCCTGCTGCTGTTTTGTTCCATGCTCAGATCTGGGTCCTCGGGGTAGCTCACCCCTCCCTGTGCTCCTGTCCCTGCAGTCCGTGCTGCGGGGGCTGGGCTCCGTGGTGGCGGTGGAGGAGCGCTCCCTCACGGGCACCTGGGACGTGAGCACGCTGCAGCGCTGGACCTGGAGGACGCAGGATGGCCACCAACACAGAGGTTCGGGAGCCCCTGGTTCAGGCCCCACCCGGGATTCCCAGCCAGGCGGGGGAGCTGGGCAGACCTGGTTCAGATCCCAGCTCTGCCCCTTACAGCCTGTGTGACCTTGGCCAGGCTGCTCTCCTTCTCTGATCTGTAGCCCACCTGAGCCCCCCACAGTAGGTTCAGAAAGGCTTTGGGTTCGTCCCCACCTGCCAGGGCTCCCACACAGGCGTGTGTGTCTGTGTGTGTGTGTCTCCACAAACCACACCCCCTGCCTGTGCCCTGGGTGAGTCCAGAACTCGCAAGAGTACCCCAGGGGGTTCTGATGTCGCCATGCTGTGCCTCACTCTGCACACACCACCATGAGCTCCTGTGAAACACAGGCGGCTTCATGCCTCCCAGTCTTTGCTGTGCTGTTCCCTCTGCCTGGAATGTCCTTGTCCCCTTCATTCTGGCCAGCTCCCACCCAAGGTCCACCAAGTCCAGGGCTGGGTCAGATGCCTCCTCCGCTCTCCCCGCCTCCCGTGTTTCCTCTGTCCCATGCATCTTGTCTCTGTCCACCATCATGCCACACGTAGGTGGACACTTAGTCATGGGAGATGGATGGATGATGGACGGATGGAAGGAAGGAAGGAAGGAAGATGGATGGATGGAAAGGAGGAAAAAAGGAAGGAAAGAAAGAAGATGAATGAGTGGGTGGGTGGATGGATGGATGATGGGTGGATGGTGGATGAGTGGATGATGGATGGATGATGGGTGCATGGTGGATGAGTGGATGGTGGATGGATGGACGATGGGTAGAAGGAAGGAAGGAAGATGAGTGGATGATGGAAGGATAGATGGATGTGTGGGAGAACAGGCTCTCTCTGAAGGGTGAAGCCTGAACCCCAGGGGTGACTTCACTGGAGCCAAGTGAGATTGGCAGGGTTCCCCAGTGGCCTCAGTGAGAAAGCTCTTCGGCACTGAGTGCCACACCCCATGGGGAAATGAAGTCAAGTGGGGCCAGGACCAACCTAAACATTACCCTCCACCTCAGGGGAGGGCAGAAATGCAAGAGGCCCGCTGGCAGGAAGGGGGCAGCCCAGGGCTGTCATCACAGTGGGAGCCACGACAGCCACCTGTAGGCAGGTGCCACGTTGTGAGGGGGATGCTGGGCGGAAGCGTCCTGGAGAAGCAGGGGGCTGCAAGGGGCAGTGCTGGACCGACCACCTTTGCTCCCCCAGGTGGCTCCAGCTCTCCCTCACCGCCCCCGGGAGGCCCCAATGTCACCCTCCACCCAAAAGAAATCCGGACTTTCTTCATTCACTTTCGAGAGCAGTGAGCCCTTGGCAGAGTCTGTGGCCCAGGGCTGCCCCGCGTCCCCAAGCGAAGGAACAGGACCTAGACAAGGAAACACAGCCCAGAGGGATGAGGGGTGAGGGCAGGAGGCTAAGGGCAGGAAATGCGCGGGTTGGGGGTTTTGTTGTTTTTTCAAATAAAACTTGCATTATAAGGACCTCACCCACTGGTGCCAGCTCTCTGCTCTCCTCTCACACGGATGATTCTTCACACATGCTCGCCCCTCCTCGTTCATTTGAAAAGTCAGACAGGGAGTTCTACTGGATGCAGAGAGAGACCCACAGTGATACCAAAGGCGTCTGTCATGCAGGCCCTGTTGGGTCTCACCGAGGTCACTTGTGTTAACTGTGGCCCTATTGTGCGCTGGGGCCTTCACAGGCTCATCCCAGACTGGTGACACCCCTGCAAGGGGGCATGGCTGTGCCACTGGACAGGGGAGGGGCTGCAGCCTTGAGCTGAGGTGCAGTGAGGCCAAGCTGGGATCCCAGCCCCCTACCCTCTCCTTGGCCCCAGGGCTGCACCTGCCCAGCAGGAAGGCTCTGCAGCCGGCTGGGTCCAAGAGATGAAAGGAGACCACACAGCAGGTGAATCAATATAAGAATTATTAACAACTGGAAAAGTGTAACTTCCACTCCTAGGAGTGTGCCCAAGAGAACTAAAAACACACCCACACAGAAACTTGTTTGTGAACATTCATGGCAGCATTATGCACAATTGCCAAAAGTGGGAACAACCCAAACATCCATCAACTGGATAAAGAAAATGTGGCGCCTCTATGCAATGGAATATTACTCAGCCATGAAAAGGAACAAAGTACGTTACATGCTACAACCTGGTGAACCTCAATAACAGTATATAAGAGAAGGAAGCCGGACGCAAAAGGCCACATATTGTGCGATTCCATTTATATGAAATGTCCAGAATAGGCAAATCCACAGAGACAGAAAATAGAGTCGTGGTTGCCAGGGGCTGGGGGAGGAGAGATTGAGTTTGACTGTTAACAGGTGCGGCGTTTCTCTGAGGGATGAGGAAATTGTAGAATTAGATAGTGGTGATGGTTGCACAACTTTGTGGATGTACTAAAAACCACTGAATTGTGCACTTCGAAAGAGTGATTTTACTGGTATATGAGATGTACCTCCATTGTAAACATTTGTACAGAGGGAGCTGTGAGATAGAAGGAGTTGTGTGGTACCCAGGGCGGAGGTTCGAGGGAAGGACAGATTGGAAGGGTTCAGACCTCTTGGGCGAGGGAGATGTGGCCGCCGGCTAGCAGAGACCATCTCCGGTTTGGCAGTGGGAGCTGGTCTGGAGTTGGGGCAGCAGAAGGCGCCCTGGGCACCAGACGGGAGGCAGACTGGTGACATGGGGCTCAGGGGCTGGGACCGGCAGGGCAGGGGGACTTCAGAGCCTAAGAGACGTGCTCACACCACACTGGGGCCACAGTCGTCCCCAGGAGGGACGTCGGAGCACAGTCTCAAGGTTCTGTGTGACCAGGAAGGAAGTTTCATCTGAACTGAGTCTGGGGTGCGTTGGGGCCCGTCCCCCAATGACCACTAGCTCAAGGGCCCGCATGGTGCACACCCTCCGGGCACGCAGGGCTAACGGTTCAAAAGCCCCGATGTGGGGACCAATCGCTCTAATTCAAGGATGGTCTGAACTCCTGCAGGGACCTGCGGGAGCTGGGTGTGAAGGGTAGTAAAGGCCGACACGGGAAGAACCTTCACATTACCCGCGGCTGCGAAGCCCCCAAACCCCGGCCGCCTCCCGCCACAGCGAAGCCGGGCTGAGAGGCCCACGCGGAGCACCGCACCAGCAGCTCCAGGAGAAGCAGTCATTGTGACCCAGGGCTTCTTTTAAGCTGGAATAATTACCTAGAGATAATTCAGACCTGGGATGGATTTTCTGACAAACTCTGCTTCCCTTGCACCATGGCCACGATGCTGTTCTCCGATCGCCGCGCATCAGCCCAGCTGCTGCCATAAAATGTAACTGGCTGGTTCTGGAACAGAATTACCAACCGGGCCTTTGAACTGCAGGCATGGGGCTGGAACCTGGGCCGCTCCCTTCCAGCAAATGCTGATGGAGACCCATGAGGTCACCAACTGGCTCTCGGGACTGGCGGGGGTGGTCAGCTGCGGTCCGAATGTCCTCCCGAAATCCCCCCAGGAGGTCCCGTGGAGCACCCTCAGGAATCACGTGGCTTCATGTATGTTAGCACCGTTAATCCTCGTGACACTGTGACACATTCATTCACTCAGTAGATGGCCCTCCGTGGGCCCTGGGCTAGCTGCTAGAGAAAGAAGCAGTGGGGGAAAGGTACGTGGTCCCGGTCCCCGTGAGGAAGGCACGGCCATTGGCCCATTTCACAGATGAGGAGGCCAAGGCTTAGGGTGGCCCGGGGAGCTGCGGAGTCACTCCTACCCTGTCCCTTTGAGCCCGTCTGCTCCTGGACAGCGGGACTCGGGCCTCCAGAGTGGATGTGGCACATCTGGTCCAGGTCTTCCCCATGTGGGGTCCATCTGGTGGGTGATGGGGGCTTCTTTGTCTTTTTGGCCCCAGAGCCCAGAGCAGGGCTGGCACATAGTGGGGCTCAGAAGTCACTCGTTGAAAGAATAAATGAGGAAGCGGGAATCAATGAGGATTTGGTCTGGAAAAGAGATGGCTGGGGATCATCTCTGTCCTCAGGGTCTGAAGGGCCTTGGGAGCAGTAGGAAGGAGCGTGGAGGGCGTGGGGTGGATCTCCGGGGAGAGGACAGACGGGACAGTGTGTTTCTTTTCTGTACAAATGAACTCTCTGCCATCAGTGCTTCTCAGCGCTGGAACCAGCGAGCCCTGGCAAGCCTGGACCTGAGACTCCAAGTCCAGGGTGCCTCCTGTCTGCCAGGAAATCCTGTGGGACTTCTCTTTAAAAGAAATGAGGAAATCTCCCCTCTGGACTGCGACACACAGTGGGGCTGCACAGAGGAGCGCACACTGGCTGAGAGTCTGAAGGAGGCTGATTGCGTGGCCTTGGCCTTGGGCAAGGCTTGACCCCTGACCTGCCTCTCTTCCTCCCCCTTTCTTCCCTCTGTCTCTCCCTCCTCTTCTTCCCTCTCTCTCTGCCTACTTCCTTCCATTTCCCATCCTTCCTTCCTTTCATTCCATAATATTTATTGAGCTCGTACATCTGCCAGAACCTATGCTGGGCCCTGGAGTTTCTTCCAGTAGGGCGCAAAGACAATAAATAAGCAAATAAGACATTAAACTATTTCGAGATGCTCAGGAGAAACCAGGCAGGGTAATTGGATAGAGAGTGACTTCCACACTTCCTGGTCCCCCTCTTCCAACAAGGGTCTGTTACCACTTCGCTGGATCAATATCCAGCATTTACATTACTCTGCACTACTCAGTGTTTCCACCACTCGGTCCTAAAATCTTTGGAGCCGTCCTGGATGCCTCTCTTTCTCTCACACCCACATCTAATCTGTTGGCACATCCTGCTGGCTCTGCCTTCAAGATGATCCCAGTCTGGCCCTGTTGACCCCCTTCATTGCTGCCACTGAGCCCCCATCGCCCGTGCCTGGATGTCCCAGGAGCATGCTCATGGGCTCCCCACTTCTCTATCCTTCCCTCGACTGTCTCTTCTCAACACACGGCCAGAGCGACTCTCCTCTAACCTTCACGGCTTCCTGTCCCACCTGGAGTAAACCCAAGATCTTAACAGTGGCCCATGAGCCCTCTGTGGTCCGCCCCAGTACTTCTCAGACCTTATCGCCTCCTACCTCCCTCAGCCACTCCACTCCAGCCAGCACCTCAGGGCCTTCGCCACTGCTGTTCCATCTGCCTAGAAGATTCTTCCTCTAGATCTCCCCATGCCTGGGACTTCAGTCATCTGAAGGTTCACCTGGGCTGGACGTCCAGGATGACTCTTCACATGGCTGGTAGTTGACAGTGGCAGTCAGAGGGAAGTTCAGCTGGGGTGGTTGACAAGAGCACCCACACATGGCCTCTCTGCATGGCTTGGGATTCTCACGTCAAGGAAGCTGGCTTCCCCCAGGCTGGTCATCTCCAGAGTGAACTCAAGAGACGCAGACAGAAGCTACACGGCTTCTTATGATGCAGCCTCCAAGACCTAAAACACTCCTTTCACTGCGTTCTGCTGATTAAGTAAGACACTATGGCCTGCCCAGAGTCTGGGAGAGGGGAACCAGGCTCCTCTTGATGTGAGAAGCAGCATCACATTCAGGGAGAGAAGAAGTTGACAGTGACCATCCTGGAGACCCTTGACCGTAGACAGGAAAGGGCTGGGAGTCTCGAGGGAGAGGAGGGAGGCCAGGGTTCCTGGAACACAGTGAATGAGGGGGAGAGTGATCAGACACGAGGCTGGAGGGAGGGATGAAGAGGTCAGGTCAGGCAGGGCCTGGGAGGCCATGGGAAGGAGTTGAATTTCCTTCTAAACTTTACACATGATCGGATTCTCATTTTTAACAGGTCACGCTGGCTCTCGCGTGGACCACGGGTGACAGAGGGCGAGGATGGAAGCAGGGGGACTGAGAGGGAGGATACTGAGTTTGTCCAGGGTAGAGGCGCCGATGGCAATGAAGGTGGAAGGACCGGGTGGATTCAGAAGACATTCTGGCAGTAGAACTGAGGACCTTGCTGAGGAACTGGATGTGGGGGCAAAGAGAGAAGAGGATCAAGGCGGACTCCTAGGTTTGGGGCCTGAGGAACTGAGATGGAAAAGTGCAGCCAGGAGAGTGGGGGTGCTGGTGAGGGAGAGGACTGGGGAGGAAAATCAAGAGTGCCATTTTGGTCCTGTCAAGTTTGAGACGCCTGGTGTAGAAATGAAGACAATATCAATCATAGAAGGGGACAGAAGCAAAGGAGCTCACGGGTGGGGCCTGGGCCTCGGTTTCCTCAGCTGTGACATAAAGGGCTCAGCCTGGATAATCTTGGGGACCTTCCTATCTCTCACCATGTACAACTTTGGGACATCAAGTTCTGGGGCAAATGTCTTG